ATTCGTGAGGGCTTGGGGACCAGGCTTCTGGGGACAGAAGCCTGTATCCCATCCTAGCTTTAGGGTTAGGGCCTAGGAGCATGGCTGGCCGAATCTGCCAGTTCTGACATAGTCTTCCTTGGGGCCACAGTTGAGGGCAGGGGCCAGGCGGCCCATCGGACCCCAGGTTCATGGCCAGGGGTGCCGCCCAATGTAGGGGTTACCTTGTGGGGTCATGAAGGTTTCTCCCAGTCTGAGTGTTACCCAAAGCTCCAAATGGCACCATTTCCCCCTGGGTGGCAAGCAGAGTCCTGGGGTGTAGTCAAGATGTCCCCAGTCCTGAGGGTTTGAGGGCCTGGCTTCTGAGGATGGAAGCCTGTATCCCATCCTAGGGTTAGGGTTAGGGCCTAGGAGCATGGCAGACCCAATCTGCCAGCACTGAGGTCGTCTCCCTGGGGGCTGGTGTGGAGGGTGGGGATAGGCGGCCCATCGGACCCCGGGTTCATCACCAGGGGTGCCCCCCAATGTGGGGTCGACCTTTGGGGGGGCATTTAGTTTTCTTCCTCTCTGAGGGTTATGCACACCTCCAAAGGCACTGATGAGGGAGCAGAAGTCTGGCTGAGGACAAAGTAAAATGCTGACACCTCGCAATCTCCTCCTCAACCCCACCACTTCTGGGTGGGACAAATGTGACATTCTTTAGGAATCTTCCACCTACTTTGATGTTAATGGCTTGCTGAAAGAGAAAGTCAACCATGATCAAGCCACAAGACCTCCCCTATCCCAGCACCTTGTAGGCCCTCTTTAGCATATGAAAGCTCCCTGGAAAGCTCCCTTTCCCTCACCTTTCCCCAACCACATGGTACATAACCCGCCATTCCTCACAACCCGGGGCAGCATCTCTTCCTGCCCATGGGTCCTGTACTCGTACTTTAATAAACCACCATTTTGCACCAAAGATGTCTCAAGAATTATTTCTTGGTCATTGGCTCTGACCTCACCCCACCAACCTCACCTATATTCCAGAACCTCATCATTTGTCATCCTCAGTGGGGCTGTGAGTCTTTACATTTGGACTCTGAGCTTCAGTGCAAAATTGTTGAGTACTTTCTCTCTTCCTCCTTTACTCTCATTTCAGGGCTTTTCAAGGAGTATGGTCTTATTGGAATACTTGCATGTCGATTGCTCAGGCTGTAATCCTCTAGCCCGTGGCTACTCTGCAGGGAGGAGAACGTCTGCCTTTTAGTTCGAGGTTAGTACCCTGGCCAGAATGGCAATAAGACCCAGAAACTTGATACCCTCTTTTTATTCCTATTCTTATATAATGTTCTCTCTTGGGCACGGACAGCCACCTAAGTCACCAGGACAACTGCCAATCTTAAGATTCCCATGTGAAGTTTCCTCCTGATTGATCTAATGTGATCTCCTCCACATCCCTGATCTAGCCACTTCTGGCCATGGGACCTTCATTGGGAGCCAGCCGAAATCAGTACCCGATTGAATTAAAACGCAACCGGGGACTGTTTCCTGGGGAAGTTGGCTGTAAGGACCACATGTGTTGGGATGTCTCATAGACCATAATGGATTTCAGTCTTTACTGTTTCTTGTCAGTGTCTTCTACAAACTAATTAAAGCTACAAAATTGGGTAATTTCCCCTTGCCAAACTTTTCTAGTATTTCCATGGGTTAAAATGGCAAAACAATATGCAGTCTTCAGGACAGAAGATGGCATGACACGGCACAATATTGGTCCATTCACCAGGCACCCATCGTCAGCCTAGGATGCGATGGGGAAGTGTAGAGGAGCCGGCACCCCTCCAGGACCTTATATGACAGGAATGCCTTCCCGGGTAAGGCAGGATCGTGATCAATAGCGATGTCCTGAGGGACGCCTCTGGTCGCTTTTGACACATGGGAACCTCTGACATATCCTGCGTGGGACGACACCCAGGCATCAGGGGGATTTGGTAATGGACCTTCTTTACTTTTCTGGGAGCATGGCCTAAGTAGGGTTCTTCAGTTCCCAATGACTCAACTTTGGGGTGACTTTTAATCCACTGGAAATAATTTGGATTGCAAAACTTAGGAAAGGATTGAGCTCCTATAACACTGCATGGCCTCAGTGGGATCTATAAGTTAAATCTCCTCTTCAGGAAACAGTGCAAATGCACCTAGGATACCTTCATTGCTCATACCTAGGCCTTGATTGCTCTACACCAGGACCCCGATCTAAGGGCCTTTTGCAGAATGTGTTTGCCCGAATGAGTCAGCTAGTAAACTCCCACCTGACATATTGGATGATAATTAGTAAATAAGCCTTCTAGTAAACCCAGGTTGCTGGGCCACCCCTAGCAAAGGGGACTCTGACTTTCTCTCTCTCTGTTCCTCCTAATAGATGTGGGGGCTTCTTCCTCATGCATTTCCAGTGTTAATGGCTATAACTGGAGCCAACTGGGATTAGTCTAACTCGAGACGGACACTTTAAGGAATATTCCCAGGCAGCTGCTGAAGCTCCCTTTGTTTCAGGGAAATTCCCTGTCTTCTCTGGCCCGACGTGGACTGCTTAGCCCCTCCCCCACTGTTGGTGGGAAAACATGGCGTCTGCTCCTCTGTTGGGGCTGATGAACTCTAAAATCAGGAATCCTTTCTCTGCCTTTTGACAGCACTTTGTTCTTCTGTTTCCTCCTTCTGTTTCTGCACCAACTTGGGTGCAGCCTGCATAACTGGCTTCTAGACCATCCTCGGTGCTTCCTGCACCACGGCTGCTTCTCTCTTCACTGTCAAGGAGCAAGAAGAGCAGCCCCTGGACCTAACACGCCCCACTCCAGACCTTCCCACCTGTGTCTCAGGTAAACATTCAAAGTGGAGTGGGCCCAGGTTGAACATAAATCAGTATTTGAACTAAGTCAAGTTTGTTGGTTTAATTGAGATGGACATGTCTTTTAAGTTATCAGCAGTAAACGTGAAACTTCAATCAAAGTTTACTGAAGGTCAAATAAGCTTGTGTTATTTGTTAACATCTCTTAGCAAAGAGATGACTAAACTGATGGTTAATTGTCTGTTTCAAAGTTTTAATGGGCAATTGCTGAGATAACTTTCAAAGTCTTTGGTAACCTGGAAGTTTAATGTTTTGCTTGGATATAAATAAAATTAAATTTGTTGGATATCTAGGTCTTTTCCAAATAGGATAAAGTCCTAAAGCATTGAGTACTGTAGGTTTGTGCTTTTGACTTCTTACTACAAAGAAACTAAGAATATTTAAATCTGTTGGTAAACATGTTTTGCACTTAACTGATTCATAATTTTGCCATCTAAATAATTCTGTTGTAACAGTTCACAATTGGTTTATATTTAGTCTTCACTAGAGATTAAGGTGTTTCTAAGAGTACTACATTCTGCTAAGTGTAACTAAGACTGATGGAAATAAGAGAAACAACTCTGTATATGGAAAAGTAGATACGGAAGAAAGATAAGGAATGGAAATGCATTTTGTTAAAGATAAAAGGCAATTTTGTCCTTATGAGATGGTTGTTTGGAAGGAAATGGCTTGTGACAAAGCCTGAATGCAAAGGAAAGTTGTAGAAGTTTTGTGAAGAGAAATCTTTGGAATGGAATTTTAGGTATGGTCAGGACAGACTAGGATTGAAGTGAATTTTAAAAAGACACTGGTATAGAAAGTCTGCTTTCTCTCTGTTCAAAAAGGACAAAGTTTTCTTAAGTTAATTGATCTGCTGTTAAGAAGGAAATATAAACTGTTGTTTCCTGTTTGCCTGTCCAGAAAAACCATCTTCCACATTTCTCCTGTTATCAGGTGTTTAACATCCTTAATTATATTTAGGCATGTGCTTTAAAACTTTCTAAGATTTTGGGACACCTGGGTAGCTCAGTTGGTTAAGCAGCTGCCTTTAGCTCAGGTCATGATCCCAGTGTCCTTGGATTGAGTCCCACATCGGGCTCCTTGCTCAGCAGGGAGCCTGCTTCTCCCTCTGCCTCTGCCTGCCTGTGCTCGCTTTCTCGCTCTCCCTCTCTCTGACAAATAAATAAATACAATCTTAAATAAATAAATAAATAAATAAAACTTTCTAAGATTTTAGCAATTGTCGACAAGATTTAACTTGTAAACGAAATCTCTTTAACTCATGCTTTTCCTTGGTATGTTAAGTTACTCAGGAAGTATTGCTAAACAAATGATAAACCTTGGGTTACATTTGGGTAAAGTCTGTAACTATTCTAGACATTCTATGCATTTCCTAAAGTTTTAATGGTTTGATAGATCATACTTGATATTGTAATTATTGAAATGTTATGTGTCACAGAAATAACCTGATTTCCTTGCCAGGTAAATTGTAAACTCTCATCTCATCAGCTCTAACCATATCCATTCTGAGTTTTTTAAATTTATAATTGTTTTAATTCTCTTGTAAAATGAGTTTTATCTTAAAGGAGATTCATATAAAGGACTTTCAGGACAAATACAGATATTTGATATACTTGAAAATCCTAAAACTGAAATGGGTAAGAATTTCCAGAACTAACTAAAGCTGCATTCAAACTAAACCAGAATTAGTAACATGGGGCTAAACGAACTAAAAGATTATAGTGTTGTATCTGTTATTTTAAACATTGCTGGTTCTCTAATGTTTGCTCTTCCAGACTAAGGAAACTTTTTTTCTTAAGATGTCTGTGACTTACAGAAATGTAAAAATATTTATTTGTAAACAAATCAAAGCATTCAACTTTTCTCTCTATCAGAACCCTCTAAAACTCAAAAGGTCTCAGCAAGTATTCTTTCCTCCATGGCAATCAGTCATTGCATAAGTTCAATAAGAATCTGATCTCCTTGTAACAGGACACCATTGGAAACATGGGTTATTTTACCAAGGCTTTGACTGGAATGTCATATTTGAGAAAGACATGCATAGACTCAGATATGACCAGACAACTTTAAGGAACTAAGGTTGACTATAGGGAACCTGGAGTTATAAAGCCCCTTGGAACTATTAGCCTGATACCTTGCTTAGAGAGTTCCCAGCAGCCTCACCAGGTGAGTAAAGAATGTCACTTCCTGGCAGGTGCAGGAACCTCAGCATAGTTTGGGGACATCAGGAAGAGGAATTCACACAATTTGACAGGTATCACAGTCATGTCTGATGGCAAGTATGTGGCTTGGCTTCTGGCCTGGAGAGGCTACTAAAAGTTCAATGTAGGGATTCCTTATAAGAAGTTCCAGCAAAGCAGATTCTAAAAGATCTATATGATCACTCACTGTTCTTGCTGACCTTATGTAAACAATTGGGCCAAATCTGTTTAAACTGGACTTGTTTTTCAAATAAATTAGTCCTGATTTGACTATCTCTGGAAATGAGGGTTATTTTAGAGAGAAAAATTATGTTTCAGTAACACACCTTTGTGGATGTTAAGTTCTAGATTTTGTTGTCTTTAAATGTTTGTTTACCTAAACTAGACAACTTGAGGTAAACTTCAGAGAAGTTGCACAATAGCTCATTTAGATGATCTTGCTTAATATTCTGTAGGGATAATAACAGAACCCATTGGGTATATAACTTAAATATTTAAACAACTGGAAAATGGGATTGATTCCCCAACAGTTGTATAATTTAACTATCACCTTATGTGTGGCTGGAATAATGGAATTGCTTAAAGCCAGCATACTGCACTGCATAGGATTAACTATGGACTTATGGAGATAATGGATGACCCCACTTTCTTTATGATTGGATTGGATGATGCATGTGGGACTCCCCTTATCTCTTGACAAGTTTTCTCCCACTTGCCAGTGATCCTCTGTAATCAGGGTATTGTTAAGGCTGGACTATTCAAAGGGCTTCTTAATGGTTTCATCCCTTTATCCTAGAAGCCACCTCTGTTGAGGTACAATTGCAAACAAATGCTTTAGCTAAGCATAGACTTTCCCTCCTCATAAAAAGAGCCTCAAAGGGATGCCTGGGTGGCTCAGTTGGTTAAGCAGCTGACTTCAACTCGGGTCATGATCCCAGTGTCCTGGGATCGAGTCCCACCTCGGGCTCCTAGCTTGGCGGGAAGCCTGCTTCTCCCTCTGCCTCTGCCTGCCACTCTGTCTGCCTGTGCTTGCCCATGCTGTCTCTCTCTCTCTGAAAAATAAATAAAATCTTAAAAAAAAAAGCCTCAAAATTCACTATGGGACAGTCCCTGACTGTAATGATTTAACATCATGTCCAAAATGTCTTAGAAACCAAAGGCCACCAATGGATGATGGAGGCCAACTTAAATACTGGGCTACACTTACCAGAAATAATACTTAAAATTTGTCAAACTTTAAGCCTAGTTACCCATATGCCTGAACCTGATTATTGTACTTCTTTCTCTATAAAGCAAAACTGTTCAGAGTTTATTGATCTTACTTACTCTAGTAGGCCAGATTTAAGATGCCCCTATTAAAAATACAAATGACAGTTGGTTTACTGATGACAATAGTTTTCATGAAAGGAACAAGAAAAGGCTAGGTGTGCCATAGTGCTCACTAGCACTTTGCAATTGCCAAAGACTAACAAATAAACATTAATACTGACTCCAAATATGCCTTCCTGGTACTACATGCCCATGGAGCTATTTGGAAGGAAAGGGGATTGCTGTCAAGCCATAACTCCCCAACCAAATATGGGCCTGAGATCATAACCCTTCTTGAGGCTATACATCTGCCCAAGGAGGTAACGGTGATTCACATCAAAGGACATCAAAAGTATATGACCTTAGAATCTAAAGGAAACAATTTAGCAGACCATACAGCTAAAGAAGCAGTAAAAGGAACCCAGTGAGCAAATTAATGTGCCTTCTCACTCCTGTGAGCCCATAGAAGATCTCAAACTTCTCTTCAAACAAAAATGAAGGTTGTATATATTCTCTTTATCTTCCTTTCACCTATCTTAACTGACGATTCTTTCTACAGTGGGCACAGCATTATGCTGAACTTCAAAATCAAACAGATTGTTGGATATGTGGAATTTTGCCTATGTCAAGTACATCCGGGTTACCCTGGTGGGTTTCCCCTTTACAGGGCACTGATTGGCATTCTCTGCAAGATTATATTTCAGATATAATATATGGAGACAGTATGTACAGGGATAAATCTATCACTAATCGAGATGTTTCTTCCTGGTCCATGATCAGTAAAACGTGGAGTTCACCAGGACATAACCAAACTTTTTCATACTCTCAAACTGTTAAAGTCTTAACTGACCTTACAAGCCCACAAATTAATATCCACCAACTAGGACCTAAGTTACAAAATCCTCCTTATCACTATACTGAGGATGGTATATATCAAATCTGGGATGCATATTTGTGGCTCACACCTACTATTGGACAGCTCAGTCAAAAGGCAGTTTTATTCTGGTAACAAAGAAATCATACATATGATACTTGGGCAAATAACACACGACATCTAAGATGGCTATCATTAGAAATGTGTTCCCAAATAATAGTACTCCAGGCTACTGACTGGTTTGCTACTGATTGGGTAAGATGACCTGGCATTAGATGGTCAGCTCCAAATGGAACCCACTGGATATGTGGAACTAACCTGTGGCCCTGGCTTCCTCCAGGGTGGATAGGTCGCTGTACTTCAGGATTTGCCTGGATTCATGGGCGCATTACTGAAACCATCACCACTCCAGCTAATCTCCCCAATTTAAAGCAAAGATGGACACGATCTGTTTTTAAGTGGTATGATCACTTAGCATCCATTTTTGCTCCATCTGTGGGACTAGAGGATGTCATTTGGCATGTACAAGCCCTTAATAAATATACTGCAAAGGCACTCAATGATTCACTAAATAGCATCTCTTTACTTAATATTGAAGTCTCACAGATGTGCAAGGCAGTCCTATGAAATAGGATGGCCTTAGATGTCCTGAGAGCAGCACAGGGTGGCACATGCGCAATTATAAAAGCAGAATGTTGTGTTTACATCTCAGAATACCACAAAAATGTCACAGGATGAAGAAAAGAAATGAATACCCAGATTGAGGCTCTACAGTATCCTTCTCTCTCTCTTTCAGGGATTGGTTAAGCTCCTGGTTTAAAGGAGGACTATGGCCAACAATTAAAAATCTCCTTTTCTGGCTTCTCATTCTTATAACCTTATTAACCTTAATGTGTTGCCTTGTTCAAAGTTTCTCTACTTGGTGCCAAGACTCCATTGCTGCAATGACTTCATGACGACAGATGATCCTCACCACGCGCAGAGACACTTCTTCACTGTCAGCGCTGGATTCAGCTGCCTCCGTCTTTCATAACTCCCCCTACACATTCCTCGACTGATCAATGCTAACCCGAGTAGGAAGGGACAGCTCTACGCCCCTATTCAGCAGGAAGATGTTACAGAAGATGAGACCTTCCACCTTCAAATACCTTGAAGATTTAAGGGTCAAAATTGTTCAGGGGGGAATGATGAGGGAGCAGAAGCCTGGCTGAGGAGAAAGCAAAAGGCGGACACCTTGTGATCCCCCCCCTTACCCCAAGCAAAAGGCTGACACCTCTCAATCTCTCCCTCACCCCCACCACTTCTGGGCAGGACAAATGTGACATTCTTTTAGGAATCTCCCAAATGTCTTGATGTTAATGGCTTGCTAAAAGGGAAAGTCAACCATGATCAAGCCACAAGACCTCCCCTATCCCAGCACCTTGTAGGCCCTCTTTAGCATATGAAAGCTCCCTGGAAAGCTCCCTTTCCCTCACCTTCCCCCAAGGACATGGTACATCTCCTGCCATTCCTCACAACCCAGGGCAGCAGCTCTTCCTGCCCACAGGTCCTGTCCCCGAGCTTTAATAAACAACCTTTTGTACCAAAAATAAATCAAGAATTATTTCTTGGACATTGGCTCCGGACCTCACCCGACCGAACTCCCTATATTTCAGAACTTCATCAGCACCATTTACTCCTGGGTGGCAAGCAGAGCCCTGGGGTGTATCTGCGAGGTCCCCAGTCCTGAGAGCTTGGGGGCCAGGCTTCTGGGGATGGAAGCCTGTATCCCAACCTAGGGTAAGGGACAGGGCCTAGGAGCAAGGCAGGCCCAACCTGCCAGGGCTGAGGCAGTCTCCCAGGGGGCCGGTGTTGAGGGCGGGGAGCAGGAGGCCCATCGGACCACGGATTCCTGGCCGGAGTGCAGCCCAATGTGGAGGTGACCTGATGGGGATTGAAGGTATCTCCCGGTCTGATGGTTATAAGCAGCTCCAAATGGGAGAGGGTTTCCGCCTGGGTGGCAGGCGCAGTCATGGCGTGTGTTTCAGAGGACCCCAGTCGGGAGGGTTTGGGGGTTAGGCCACTGTGGACAGAAGACTGATTTCCCAAACCAGGGTTAGGGTTCAGGTCAAGAAGCATGGCAGAGCTCACCAGCCTGAGCTGAGCATGGCAAGCCAGAAGGCTGAGTTGAGGGAGGGTCTTGCCAAGAGAGTGTCTGGCTTGTAAAATGGTTTCTCCCAGGGCTTGGACGATGACCATGTGGGACCTCAGGCCATTTCAAGGGGGTACAACTGAAAGCCAACGCAGCCTGAAGGGAGTTGGCCTGGGCGTTCCACCAATGCTCACGAGCTTTTTGCTCAACTCCTGATCGATTTGGGCAGAAAGCGGGTGAGAATTGGCCCTTGATGTGCAAAGATTCAAGCCACACTGGCGCGAACTGTCGAGAGCTCTTTCTGGCACGTGTGTGTTACCACCATCCAGGAACTGGGGTCAGGGACACGTGGCTCCGTGAGGACCCCAGCTGAGGGGAGCTTTCTGAGGGCAGAGATGTGGGAGGGACTACGGCTGACCGTCACTCTCCGTGTCTGAGGCATGCAGCGGCGACGAAGGTGGGGGTGGCCGCTGGGGAAGGCATGGAGCTTTCTCCCATTCTGAGGATTCTGCGCAGCTGAAAATGGCACAGGTTCCATGTGGCTGGCAAGAAGACCTCTGCGGTTGGGCTTCAATGTCCACACTCGGCAGACCTCGGGCATCAGGCCCCTAGGGACAGAAGCCTGAGAACCCAGCCTGGGTTTTGGGTTCGAGCCTAGGACCATAGCAGAACCGAACTGCCCATGCTGAGGCACGCACCCTGGGAGGCTGAGTCGAAGGCGGGGGTCAGGTAGTGCCTCAGATAACCTTGGTGGTTGCCATGACGCTGCTGAAGCTGAGGGTGTGGCCTCAGGTGGTATGTAGATTTCTCCAACTCCAAGGCTACAGCGCAGGACCAAAAGACACCATGTCCTCCTGGGGGTCAAGGGGAGTGCTGGGGTGTAGCTGACACATCCCCAGTCCTGAGGGCTTGGGGAACAGGCTTCTGGGAATGGAAGCCTGTAACCCATCCTAGATTTAGGATTAGGGCCTAGGAACATGGCAGGCCCAATCTGCAAGCGCTGAGGTAATCTCCCAGGGGGCCGGAGTGAAGGGCGAGGGGCAGGCAGGCCATCAGACACTGGCCTCGTGGCCAGGGTTGCCGCCCAAGGTAGAGGTGACCTTGTGGGTTCATGAAGGTTTCTCCCGGGCTGAGGGTTACCCGCAGCTCCCAATGGCACCACATCCGCTGGGTGGCAAGGGGAGTCCTGGGGTATAGCCTAGAGGTCCCCAGAGTGACAGCTTGGGGGCCAGGCATCTGGGAACGAAAGCGTGTATCCCAAACTACGGTTCTGGTTAGGGCCTAGGAACACGGCAGGCACAATCTGCCAGCGCAGAGACAGTATCCCTGGGGGCCTGAATGGAGGTAGGGGGGCAGGTGGACCATCAGACGGCGGGTTCATGCCCAGGCGTGCCACACAACGTGGGGGTGACCTTGTGGGGTCATGAAGGTAACTACCGGGCAGAGGGAGATGCGCAGATCCAAACAGGAGAGGTTTTCCACCTGGGTGGCAGGCGCAGGCCTGGCGTGTGTTTCAGAGGTCCCCAGTCCGGAGGGTTTGGGGGCCAAGGCTCTGTGCCCGGAAGGCTGATCCCAGCCAGGGTTTGGGTTAGGGCCAAGGGTATGGCAGAGCAGATCTGCCTGGGCTGAGCACTGCAAGCCAGAAGGCTGAAGAGAAAGCAAGTTTCGCCACGCGTGTGCCTGGCATCTACATTGCTTCTTCGCAGGTATCTGACCGCGACCCAGAGGACCCTCGGGCCACTTCCAGGGGGCTATGCTGAAAGACCAAGCAGCCGGAAAGGAGATGACCAGGGCTTTCCAGCCAATTCTCACAATAATTCTGCGCAACTTGAGATGCATTTGGGCAGAAAGCGGGTGAGAAATACCCGGCAATGTGCACCCATACAGACCACACAAGTGTTCCCTAGGGAAGGCTCTTTCTAGCAATGAGCCTATTGCCTGCCACCGTCCAGAAACCGTTCGAGTGCCATCAGTCCACTTTTTTTGCTTCCTCGCAGGTCTCCGACAGCGACCCTGAGGAACCTCGGGCCACTGTAAGGGGGCTCCGCTGAAAGTCCGCGCAGCGGGAAGGGATCTGGCCAGGGCTTTCCAGGAAGTTCTCACCGGCCTTCTGCCCAAATCGAGATGGATGTGGGCAGAAAGCAGGTGAGAATTGGCCGGCAATGTGCAGCGATCGGGACCACACGCGTGTCCCCTGTGGAGAGAGCTTTCTGGCTAGGTGCCTGTCGCCTGCCACACGCCAGGCACCCCCTTCGAGGGCCATGTGGCTCCCGCCGTGAGGGCCCCAGCTGAGGGGAGCTTGCTGAGGGCAGAGAAGAGGGAGGGACCCCGGAGGAGCGCGTCCCTGTCCCTGCTCGGGGCCTGGTGGGACAGAGAAGATGGAGGTGGCCTCGCGGAGCCGGGGGCGGGCCACGCCTCTTTCTCCCAGTCAGACGTTTCCGCGCGCTCCCAAAGGCACAGGCTCCTCCCGGATGGCTAGTAGAGTCCTGACATGGGACTCGGGGCTCCCCAGGCTGGAGGGTTTGCGGGCCAGGCCTCCGGCGAAGGAAGCCTGACAATGCAACCTTGGCTTAGGGCAGGGCCTAGGAGCCTGGCAGGCTGCATCCGCCTGCACTGCGACCGGCACACCGGAAGGCTGAGAAGAGGGAGGCTTTGGCCACGCGTGTGCCTGGCTTGGAGATCGCGTTCTTGTGCGCTTCGGACCGGGACCACGCGGGACCTCGAGCCAGGCCCCGGGGTCTCCGCAGAAAGTCCTCCCAGCTGGTCGCTGGCCGACCGGTGGGTTCCGGCCAATTCTCGCGAGCTTGGGCCGAAATCGATCTGGACACAAAGCTCCTGAAAATCGGCCTGCGAAGTGTCAGGATTCCGGCCACACGGGCGCCCCCTGGCGAGAGCCCTTTCTGGCCTGGTGTGGGCGTTCCGACCATCGGGGCCCTGGGGTGGGGAACACGTGGCTCCGTGAGGGCCCCAGCTGAGGGGAGCTTTCTGAGGGCAGAGATGCGGAAGGGACTCCGGCTGACCGTCGCACTCCATGTTGGGGGGGTGCTGGGGCGACGAGGTGCGGGTGGCCTCTGGGGGCGGCGAGCGGCTATCTCCCGCTCTCAGGGTTCTGAGCAGCTCCGAAGGGCACAGTTTCCATGGGGCTGGCCAGAAGACCCCTGGAGTTGGCCTTCGGGGTCCACACTCAGCCGAGCTCGGGCCTCAGGCCCCTGGGGGCAGAAGCCTGCGATCCCAGCCTGGATTTCGGGATCGGGCCTAGGGCCGTGGTAGCACGGATCTGCCGCTACTGAGGCGCGCTCCCTGGGGAGCTGAGTGGAGGGCAGGGGTCAGGCAGTGCCTCAGATAACCCTGCCGGTTGCCAAGAGGCCCCTGACGCGGAGGGTGTGGCCTAAGGGAGTGTGCAGATTTCTCCCGCTCCGAGGCTTCTGCGCAGGCCCGAAAGGCACGGCTTCCTCCTGGGGGGCAGGCCGCGTCCTGGGGGTGCAGCTGACACGTCCCCAATCCTGAGGGCTTGGGGAGCAGGCTTCTGGGGATGGAAGCCCATATCTCATCCTCGATGGAGGGTTAGGGCCTGGGAGCTCGGCAGGCCCCATGTGCCAGCGCGGAGGCTATCACCGGAGGGGGCTGGACTGGAGAGTGGGATGCAGGCGGCCCCTCGGACCGCGGCTTCGTGGCCAGGGTGTCGCCCCAGGTGGAGGTGACCTTTTGGG